GTGTTCAAGGCCAGGTTGGACGTGGCCTTGGGCAACCTGGGCTGGTGGGAGGTGTCCCTGCCCATGGCAGGGGGGTGGGAACTCGATGATCTTCAAAGTCCCTTCCAACCTAAACCATTCTATGATTCTATGAATTTCACCGACAGCCCTGAACGCCTACAGGAATTTCTTAAGCGACTTGTATTATGCCAAACATTTTATTTCAGAAACATTTGGCGCTTACATCCGGGGGGCTCAGCGTACGCAGTAAGGAGGATTTCCCTCCAGAGCTTTTACCTGCCATCGCTGCAAACAAGATTTCCGAATAACCTCGCACCTTCCGTGTCCCCAGGGCACCACCCCGCACCTTCCCAGGCTCTTCTCCTCCACCCTCACCCTGCCCGGGCTGCCTCCCTCATGGTGAGGTTGACAGACAAAAAGAAAAGCTAAATATAAGCTCCCCTCCTTTGTACGCGTTTGCTCGAAAGCTGCGCCAGCTGTTGTACAACCGCCCCAGTCACGCACGACCGCATCGCAAACAGGGCAAGGCGGAAGGAGCCACCCAAAAAAGATTTGATAACCTGAGTGCCACACGGTGCCCGTGCCAGGCTGGGGTTGAGTTGGGCCACGGTTTTAATCCCCTCTGCCATTGACGATAGCTACTAATGACCTTGTATATACAACCGTGAACATCCTTGTGGTTTATGGGCTTGACCTTAGTTGATGAGAAGCTCAACATGACATGGCAATGTGCACTGGCAGCCCAGAAAGCCCCCCGCACCCCGGGCTGCATCCCCAGCAGCGTGGCCAGCAGGGCGAGGGGGGATTGTGCCCCTCTGCTGCGCTCTGGGGAGACCCCCCTGCAGTGCTGCCTCCAGCTCGGGGGGTCCAACAGCAGAAGGACACGGAGCTGTTGGAGCGGGGCCAGAGGAGGGCACGGAGATGATCCGAGGGCTGGAGCCCCTCTGCTGTGAGGACAGTCTGAGAGAGTTGGGGGTGGTCAGCCTGGAGAAGAGAAGGCTCCGGGGAGACCTTAGAGCCCCTTCCAGTGCCTAAAGGGGCTCCAGGAGAGCTGGGGAGGGACTCTGGATCAGGGAGGGGAGCGATAGGAGAAAGGATGATGTTTTTAAACTGAAAGAGGGGAGATTTAGATGAGATATTAGGAAGAAATTCTTTCCTGTGAGGGTGGTGAGCCCCTGGGGCAGGTTGCCCAGAGAAGCTGTGGCTGCCCCATCCCTGGAGGTGTTCAAGGCCAGGTTGGACGGGGCTTGGAGCTACCTGGGCTGGTGGGAGGTGTCCCTGCCCGGGGCAGGGGGTTGGAACTGGATGGTCTTTAAGGTCCCTTCCAACTCTAACCATTCTGTGATTCTATGGCCTTCCATCTCACCGGTGCTTGGCAGCACGGTGCAGCATCCCTGGGCACACAGCTGCCGGGCTGGGCAGTCCCAATCAGGCTGCAGGCGCCGGCTGTGGCCCCGGGGCTTTCCAGAGCAAGTTCTGCAGCAGCATTTTTCTGCTAAGGCATGGCCTGTGGCTCCGGGAACGGTTTGCAGCCAGTGTGCTGAAACACAACCATCTCCAGGAGCCGGAGAGCACAGAGTCCTCCCGGTCCGGGTCCGCACCGACCCCTGGGATGCTCACCTGGTAGACGGCTTCATCGCAGGCGTTCTGCAGCCCCAGGTTAATCATGGTGTTCTGCAGCGTCCGCCCCATGTAAAACTCCAGGGAGAGGTAGTAAATCCTCTGAAAGAGAAAACCACCCCCTGGTCACCTTTCCCAGGGCCTTAGAAGGCCCTTCTGGACCCCAGAAGCCGCTATCGGGCATCACCTCAAAGCGAGAGGGGAAAAAAAACCCAAAAACCACGAACTCTCAACAGAGGACGGTGGTTTGCACTGGGAATTTGAGGGCTGGGGCTCCCCACAGGCGTCGTTCCCCGCAGCCCCAGCCCTGCCCGCCTGCCGCTGCTGTTTCCCCAGCCGGGAAGGGGGAGAGGATAGCGCCGAGGAGTTTTTGTTTGGACAAGCCTTGTCCAAGTGCAGGGACATCCCCAGGACGGTCACCCTGAGCACGCCGGCGGCCGCGGCGGTACAAAGTTAAACTTTAAAGAGGAGACGTTTCCTAATGTCACCCCGAGCTGCAAAGCAACCGGAAAACCGAGCAAGCCGCCAAGGCCGGGCTCGTGTGGCAGCCGTGGGGACACGGGCTTCCTCTGCTGTCCCCGGAGGGGGTCGGGCTCAGGAGCACGTCGCGGACACGGCGGGTGCAGGATGCGGCCAGTAACGCGGCGGCTTGTGTAAGCCGTCTCCCGGCGTCAGCACCGGCAGGTTTTAAGGAAGGATTTAGGTTGGAGGAAGTCGCTGACTTGACAGGTTTCCCCAGGAACCTGCGCAGGGGGCAGGGGACGGCGAAGGGGATGTGCTGGGCGGCATCGGTTAGGCTTACTGGTTTGGCCCCAGCAGAGCTGGAGGCAGCGACGCCGGACAGACGGGACCCAGCACGGCTCGCCTGTACCGGAGAGTGCCCAGATTCAAGCCCTGGAAGAGGCTCGGCTTTTTTCCTCCCCCCTACACAATAAGTGTGTGGGGGGGGCATTGAGCTACCAGGGGCTGGCAGGGGCCCAGCAGGGTGGTGGCAGGGCCACCCTCGCAGGGAGAAAATTGGAGCCGACAGGGCCGTCCAGGTGTCCGGATGGGATTACTGCTTAATCCCCCGGCAGGCAGAGCCCCGCGCTCGCTGCGAGCCGGCGCAGGACAGGAACTCCTGCACAAACTGGATCTTTCACGCTCGGGACGGCCGTGGCGCAGATCAGGCTTGCGCCCGTTTTAAACAAGAGATGCTTGCGGTTGGCTTCGGGTTCGTTTAAGCCCTTCGACTAATTCGCCCTTAGAAGGCTCGGCGGCTGCTTTCGGCAGACCGCACCCACGCCAACCCCGCGGGACAACAAACGCTGTTCCCATGCCCTGCACCCAGCGCCCGGCCAAGCCGCCCTCTGTTTGTTTTGCAAAGCAAAGGACAGTGGCCCCGCTTGGTAAAGTCCAGTCCCCACACTTGGCAAAGTCAGGGGGAATAGCCCCAATCCCACGAAGAAACAGGCCCCCCGTTCCCAATTTTTTTCCACAGAGGGTTCACGCCCAAGGGTGGGCAAATTCCCATCAGAGCCATAACGCGGGACCCACTTTGGGGATGCCGCGGGACATCAGGGGTCCCACCACCCTCCACCCTGCA